CTAATCATAACATCCTATAAGAAATAATTCAAAATATGTATTTGATAGTTTAAGTAAGTATTAAAAAGTTTATTACATATTAGGACTCTTACTATTCATTTTTTTTTTTTTATGAAAATTGCCAAGAGACTAAGCCTGATTTATACTAATGGTATTTTGTATTTATTATTTACAAATATTTAKTAACTGTATTAGGTACTGAATATTTATCTAAATATTCTAAATTTTAAAATTCTGTAATAAGTATATGATTGAGTATTTTTACAATTGTAAATTTTATCTTAAAATGMTCATAAACCGCTTTAAAGCTAAATTTTAAGCTAACAGAGCTAAATATAAACTACCGAGCTTAAAATTTACTATGTTACGTACTTGTAAGAAATACATGCGGGTGTGGCGTCCTCTTAAAAGATAAATGATAATACTATAAAATACATTATCATATTATGTAATTTTAAAAATCTTAAAATATTATTAAACTGCCTACTTTGGGGATAGTGGTGGATCCAGAATTTAATTTTAAGGAGGGCCCATAGTCCAAAATGCTTTTTGAATCTCAAAATAATAACATAATTATATTTAATAATRGTTTCTGCTGTACGGTATTTACAATATAAAAATAAATACCTATCTGAAATGTTTTGGTCACTATAAATTTACACATTACACTTGTCCACATTTACAATAGAAAAGTCGTTTTTAAATAGTAATGTTCATTATCCTGCAGTTTAAACATTTCACGCCTATTAAAATATGTTTCAAGAAATTGTTAAAAATGATATTATGCAAAATACAATAGACGCAGSGAATTGTGTGTGAAACAAATCATAAAATAATAAATAAATAATTGTAATACTAATTTATTTTGCCAGAATACAGTTTAAACAATCTTAAGATGATAATAATAATAATAATTCTAGCTGCCCTTCTTCCCAATATTGCCCGATACTCTATATAGACCAATAGGCCCAAAAGGCTAATAGGACCCGAGTAAAATATATGTATTTTTAGTAAATATATTTGTAAAAAAAGTAAATCAATAGACAATAATTAGCAATTCTGAATCTACTTACAGGAGTTGAAAAATAAGATATAAACTATAAGCATCCTACAAGTCTCAATCAATTTATTGATAGAACTTTTATTCAAAGTGGTCTAGTACTTTAAAAGTCTATTACCTAACCTCGGACGAACATTCATATTTAGTTGTATTCTATTATGCTGACTTTGCCTGTGGAAAAAATATAAAATATAACTTATAATGCTTTGTATAAGTTTTCATCTTATACATGCTTTTCTCTTATAACTCTAATAAAGATTCGGTTAAGTAGTTTTTGAATACCTATATGTAACTATGTAAGTTACAAACCATTTAAATTTTTGTTTGAAATATATTAAAAACATTAATTAAGTACCTATGCGTATACCACTATGAACCGGCAACGATTGCTGGAATTAATTAAATAGTATTGACGTTTGATAGTTAACGAAGAGCTAACTTAAATATTGTCGATCGTAAGTCATCCGTCAATGAACCTATCMTATTTTTATCGTTATATAATTATTATTTGTTACTATAATAAGCATATATAGGTTTTGGAATAAAACTTCTCCTAAAAATAACCAAAACAGATCTAAAAATTGAATTTTCAACGCAAAACTAATGCCCTTAATAACCTTTTTTGTTGTTGTGCAATACTGCAATTGTGCATATTTCGAAAACTATGGTTTTCACTGTTTTCAGAATGTTTAACACTCCTTTATATCAACTAAAATCAAATTTWATACGAAAACAAAGTATACAGAATTTAAGCAYGATACAATACTGTAGTTATCAATTTTACGCATTAAATGCTATTCTTTTCGACCAAAAGTTATTTTTTTTCAGATTTATCGACTTTGTAAAAATGATAATAGGATTGGGCTGAAAACAGTTTAAGCTTAAATTATCATCTATTATAAGTCGTCACAAGATAAAATACATATTAAATTCCCAGTTTTTAGTTGTGATTTTAATTCCTTTTTTTCAATGATATTTATTTACCTGATGATKTTTTAAACATACGGTTTATTTCCAAATTGTTTATAATCTCTGAATTTTATCAGAGCTGATGCGRAAATAATTTKAAATCAAGAATTATTTTCTTTAAGCGGTATACTG